TACCTCTTGAACCATGCTTTGATTCCTGGCTTGCTAGGAGGTTCAGTCTAGGTGTGTCAACTAAACTGGAGCCCAGCTGTGTGCGTGCATGGGAACATCACATCACTTCTCTTAACAAGTGTTCCAGGTAGCTCAGATGCTCTTAGTCTTTGAAGCAGGAATTTATAGCACACATTTTTCCTGGGAAATATAAAACTTTGTGATATAAACAGCTAACCTTGAATAATGGTAATTATGGTCATAATTTCTTATGACCTTCATAAGAAATAATTTAACTTGGAAAATATTCCTGGGGGAAGTGGTTCTAGATCCTAAAATACTCAGGACTAAATATTGGCACTGTTCAAACATGGGAGCAAATTTCTTTTTATTCTTGGGTTCTTTCCAGAAGTCGAGCCTCAGGATTAGTAGACTCTACAGAAGACCTTCTTTCTGTTTTTTTAAGTTTTCTTGACAAGAGTGAAAAAGAAACATAGGACAATCATATGTTTTTCTCCCATACTATTCATTTAATTCTTGTTTTAAAACTTTTGAGTTTTTCATGAAACTTTTAAAAACATTTGTCACTTTTATTTTCTAAGTGTTGTTCTTCCATACAGGAACTTTGCATTGATGGCGACTAATTTGTGTGTTTTTTCTTTTTTTTCTTTTTTTCCTTTTGCATGCTGTCCCCTGTGTTGGAACTCTCAATAGAGAGTAAGTTGGTTCAATATTTGTTGGAAACCTAACTTTACTGCATGATTGTGAAATTAACCCTTTTTCTCTATTTTCTCTCCCAAAGAGTTCATGCAGTGTTGGACCCTTTGCAATCCACGAAATGCTATTTGCAGTTATGCAAACTGTCATTCTGTTTGGAGATGTGCTTTTTAATCTACTAATTAATCTAATTTGATTATGTTCTTCTGTATTTGATGACTGGCACACCTAAGACACAAAGTTTCAGAAAAGGCTATCTCAATTGTAATAGCTTAAGTATGTAATTCTTTCTTAACAAATTACTTTTGAGATACATGGGAATTATTTTTAAATCTTCAGTGAAATTAATTTATAATCCTAAAGTTTTTTTAAATTATAAAGTTTTTAAATTTATAATCCTAAAGTTTTTTAAAAATTAACATCTACCCCCCACAAGTACTTCCCACAAATTTTGTCATTCCAAAAGAGCAAATAGAATGGTTTTTACGACCTTGATTCTTAACTTTCTCTTCTAAAATTGTTATCCTTAGTATTATAGCATTATCCATTTTTCCCTTTAATTCTAGGTAAGGAAATGGGAGAATATCAACATCTGAGAGGAACTCTTTGTAGGAGGGCAATCGAGTAAGAGATAATTGTACATAATTTCCAACATATTACAGATAAAATACATTGAAAGTATATGGATATATACACATATATATAATCAGTTAGTAACACTGATCGTACATACATATTTTTAAAAAACAGTGATTCTGTTCTGTATAAGGAATACTATAAATAACATGTATATGTTATGTTTAACCAAAAGAAAGTTCTTCAGATAACAGAAGTCTTGTGGAAAGAAATAGCAATTAAGTTCTTGACAGAAGTACAAGCCTTATCTATGTAAGCATGAAAATAATCTCCCAAGAGAGGCTTGCACTAGTCCAGAAAAAGAAATGGGAGATGTCCAAAAAAATCTTACAGGGAAGAAAAAGAAGGTAATCTTGGCTAAAATGAAAGTCTTCATGCTAAGAGAAAAAATAGTTGGCTACCAATTACAGGGTAAACTTGATTGGAAGAAAATGCTTTTACTTGTTGAACAACTCTTTATTGGGGCCCTCATTCTCTGGATAACTTTGAGTTTAGATCTAGTTGGTGATACAAGACTACATAAAAATATAAACTTTATTCTCAATTACTGTATGTTCCTGATAAAAATATAACGCAGGGAAAAAATTAAATGGCACCATAAATAACTAGTCCAACTATAAATTCTAAGTGGGAAAGATCAGTGACTTTTACTTAAAGTAGTCAAGAACTTCTTGACTGAGACTTGAATGGTGAATTTTGTGGGGAGTCACATACTATATATCAATGAATGGGCAGGTGCTATAGGTCGTGGAGGAGGAGTAGGAAATTGGGAGTTATGACAAATGTGAATGGAGAGGAAAAGATAAAAAATGTGTATTATCAGATAATCCATATCTATTTTGGAAAGTTAGAACCCTATGTAAGAGTTTGAGACATTATCCTAATTAGGGGACATTTAAGGACTTTTGTTTCTGCCAAAAGAATGATATCACAATTTAATAGTGAGAAACAGAGATGTTTTGACAAATACAACCCACAGGCTATATCTACCCTGCTGCCTATTTTTTTTTTAAATTACATTCAAACATACCCATGCTGGTTTACTGATATATAGTGTCTGTGACCATGCTAGAGCCACAGGGTTGAGTAGTTGCAAATCCTTATGGAATCCTTGGACAATTCCTATCAGTTTGTTTTAGAAACGATTTAATGACTCCTGCTATAGAGCAAATGTAAAGATTAAAGTTAAGTTAGCATAGTGGTCCAGACCTAAAGTCAGAAAAGCTTGGTGCCTATAACAATAATATGATAAACAAAAGAGAGAGCTGTTTTATAGAGTCTGGGCCTCAGGATAGACTGAGGAGTTCCCTTTTATGATGAAGACAAAATCAGGATAAAGACATTTAGGCCATGAAAGGCAAATTTCTGTCAATAAAAAAGGGAAATAATAAAAGGAAAAGACTGTTAGGCTATAAGAATGCCCAAGCATTTTGAACCTAAAAAAAAAAAAAAATTACACATCACAGTTAGAAGATGAGAAGTGGGAGCGATAGGATACAAGCTAAAGAAGTAATTCATGGGCTGATGTTTTTTGCATTGTAAGCAAGGGATAGTAAGAACAGAGTAGAAGATAGAAGAGACCATAACCTTACTTTACATAGGAAGAATACAGAATAATATGACCTTTAAAATGAACAAAATTTGTTCTTCTTTGGAGAAATGATTTTTAGAATGTTACTTATAGTAGAATGCAAATTGAGAGAAAAGTCAGTGGAGAATTTTTTGTTGAAGGACTGTAGCGTCAATGGAGTAAGTCATTTAGCAACAGTGATAGATACAACTAAAAACCAAAGGAATTAAGTGTTGACCCAGCCACTGTCCATCTGTGAAATATGGATAAGTCACTTGATTTTTACTTCGCTGCTAATGCATAAAACAGACAGGTTGGCTTAGGCATTCTAATATTTGTATGTTTTTCAGAATGTATTTTCATATAGAAAAGTTTAAAATTGGAAGCCTCAGGAAGATTTGGACACATTGAAGCCAGGTTGATAGCACACATCTATAATCCCTTATACTTAGGAAACTGAGGCAGGAGGATCACAAATTCAGAGCCAGCTTGGGCAGTTTAACAAGACCCTGTTTTGAAATCCCATAGATCAGAATTTTTTGGGTTCAGTATGTAATACCACAAAAATAAGACTTGAAACAAGAGTGAAAGTGAGCCACATAATAAAAAAGAATTATGTGCCAGTAAACCAGTCTTGATTTGTAATGTTTGCCAATTTCTGAAGTGTGAATGCTCCTGTGGCTGATTTCAAGCTACCAAACACCTCACATAATTCCTGAAATCACTCCAGCACTTTACTGGACAGATAACCAATAAGAGTGAGCACCAGATTAGAAGCATGCATTTGTCATAGAAGAGATTCTTACAAAGTTCTCAATAGTATTCTGGGCTAGAGAAGACGACCAGGGACAATTTAAGCAAAGTACGGACTCACCCAAATTTGAAACCTGAGGAAAGCCACATTTTTGAAGAGTGGTTGGGGAAGAGTAGGACCAGAGTTAAAGAGATCTCCATTTTAAGAATAGAACCAAATTAAGACACTACCTGGTGACCAGAGAGTGCTAGAAAATTTAAAGTAAGCATAACTTATGCTTATATAAATACATTGCATCTTAACCAAAGTATATTTTTTAGTTTTTAACTTATTCATATGTTAACTTGGTTAAAATTCTAACAGAAAAATCTTTCATTTCTAACAGAACAGAACAAAAAAAGTTTGCATATAACTATAAAAGAAACTCAGGAAATCAAATATACATTGAAAGGCAAACTTCTCAAAGTAATTACTTTTGAAATTAAATACTTTAAAATCGGTAGATTTAATCTATTCTGAGTATTTTAATGAGATACCTCACTTATAACTATTAGCTTCTCATCACTTTAAAAATATTTTAAACTGGTAGACTTAAGTGTAAAACCCATGAATAAAAATGGACACTGGGGCTGGGGATTTAGCTCAGTGGCATAAGCACCTGTCTTGCAAGCAGGTGATCAATCCCCGGTGCTGATTTAAAAAAAAAAAAAAAAATGGACACTGATAGCTCACCATTAGGAACTTTTTAAATCACTAAAAGTTAGGTATTGACATTTTATTTTAGGTAATGTGTTATCACAGATAGATTACTTTTGGGGCAGTTTTACTGAATAGCATGTATACCAAAAAGTTTGTGACTGTTGTTGTTTTGAGAACTCTGAGGATTCTCTAACCCATTATGTCAGATAAATTTTATACTTTAAGTAGCTGTTAATACAGTCATCCCCTATTCACTCAATGCTACTATTTCAAAAAGCTGAGAGTCAGTAAAACTATGGATAGTTCCTTTCCCTAGATTTCTTATTAAATGGATCTCAGTTTAACCAGTTAAACTATGCCATCAGTGATGACATTAGGTGTGCCAGCCATTATGGCCAAAGTTTCTTTACCAAGTGATGCTGCATGGAATAGCTAATTGTTGAACTTTGCAGAAGTTGAATAACAGTTAAAATGTACTCTTGTATCACAGAGTCCAAAGAAAAGCAAGAGAGATTGTTTTTTCGCTTGGCTGCCAATTGCTGTGCCTCTGATTTTCTCTCTTCCCTTCTATTTTAGTTTTGAATTGAACATAGAGGTCAATATTTCCTCCTTTTTCTTCCTGTCTCGCCCCTTTATCAACTATAGGTATTCAGCATGTTTTTGGAGACTCTAGTAGATTTCATACAAGTTCACAAAGATGACCTTCAAGATTGGTTGTTTGTACTACTGACACAACTGCTAAAAAAAATGGGTGCTGATTTGCTTGGGTCTGTTCAGGCAAAAGTTCAAAAAGCCCTTGATGTTACAAGGTAATATTTTCTGCATATGTTTCAAGTTTACTCAGTAATTAGAATATTTAGTTACTGTATTTAAAAGTTTAGATTTTTGGGTCCTTTCAATAATTGTATAGGCAACATCTGAAAATTTGTTTTGCCCAGTCATGTGGTATATTTAATGCAGTTTCTAGATAAAGTGTATTTCTTTTGTAAAAAAAAAAAAAAAAAAAAAATTTTTTTTTTTTTTTTTGGTCTTTTTCCTTTTTATCGGTACTGGGGGTGGAACTCACGACTGCCTGCTTGCAAGGCAGGCGCTTATGCCGCTGAGCTAAATCCCCAGCCCCCTTTTGTGAAAATTTTAATGATTTGAGTAATTCAATACATTATTTTATCTTAAATAAGATATATCTAGAGTCATGCATAGTGGCATACTTCACTTAGGGCCAGTTACTTAGGAACCCAAGGAGGAGGGTTGCTTGAGGCTACCCTGCAAGCATAGCAAAACCTGTCTCAAAAAAAAAGTCTACAATCATATCTTAGCATTTTTTTTAAGATCAACTGACGATACATCTATGAGGTACGATTGAAAATTGACTTGATGTAATGTAAAAATAAAGAGTATTTTGTAAGATTTAGAAGAATATTTTCTTTCTCTTTTCAGAAGACTTTGAGCCAAGGTTATATTTCTGCTTTTCCATGTAGAGTGTCGAAGTGACTTACTTCAAATACCTGATTACTAAGTTGGAGTCTATAATTGAAATTTTAGATGTGGGGAAATGTGTCTGAGCCTATCAAACCTTTAAGTGAACATTCCTATTAGGTCAATATTTGAGGCAAGATAAACTAGTATTTACTATTCTATAGCTTCATAATTCTGTGCTGGGGAAATATGCAAATATTTATACTCTTCTAAGAATGTTTTTATTGTGTACTACACTACACAGACTCTACTACACAGATACTACTTCAAATTTTTGGATGACATTATGTTTGGGTATTAAATATCATCTTTTGCTGTGAAGTTTGTTAAATGCTTACTTGCTGGCTTAATTTTTTGTTTTCCTTTGTTCTTATTTCAGAGAATCTTTTCCAAATGATCTTCAGTTTAATATTCTAATGAGATTTACAGTTGATCAGACCCAAACACCAAGCTTGAAGGTAAAAATTTGAGGTCTTTTGAAAATACTGTAGGAATTGCTGTATTTTATTAATAAAATTATATTGATATTTGTATTTATTATGTGAGAAACAGTTCAATCAGTGGACTTTGTTTTTATAAACTTTCAGACAGTCACGCCAGCACTTCGGGACCAGCTTCACTCTTTTTGGAGCTCCAAGGTTTTTTGTTTCTGTTTTAATCTGCATTATTTCTTTCCTTAACTTTCTCTGCCATATTTCAGATAATGTTTGTATGCATCTGTATTCAGTTACTAACCTTTATAAGCCTTTTAAGCATGCACATTTTTGATTTCAAATGTTATTCAAATGCTCGACTACCCTTTGGTGAATCTTACTGGGGATACAATCTGAAAAGCATTACAGGTATGGCTGTCTAATCCTAAACTGGCAGTGCAGATTTGCTTTATAAGTAAAGTCTTACCTAATTCTATGTTTGTGATTTCCCAAAACATTTTTTTCTTAGCTGCAGCCTTAGGAGTTTTATAGGGATTTTGGGCAAAATAGCAATTTTTACCTAAGCACTCACTTGATTTCAGTGCCATTCTCCAGTTCCCCTTAATGAAAACAGTAACCTTTTTTATAATGTGTTATTTCTGGCGTGTGTAAAATCTGTAATCAGGATTAACTTTCTCAATTTTTATTTACATGCATTTTCCAGTTAATTTATGTGAAAACTAAATGAATTCTAATTTGAATTTAAAATGGTTAAATTTCATATAAAAGAAGAACAATGTTAATATTTAAGAAGAGCCCCTGGATTCTTTTCTAAAGATATTTCAAGTGAAATTAAAATCAGGGAAATAACAAGCATATGTGCTTTTTAAAGTCTTGTATTTTCTGCTCTATTCTGCACGAAATCTACTTCCACAGCATTAACTGCTCAAGATTGATTTTTTTTCCTTTCCATTTCTGAATGCAATTGTACCTCAAAATCACAATTTGTTTCTTACCAGCATGTTACCCTCAACATATAGTTATTTTCTTAGAGCTACTTTATGAAAGGGGTTTTTCCACGTTTTTATTTTGAAAAGTGATATGCAAAAGGAGAATACTTTACTTGATATTATGGATAAATATTTTTAAACTCATATCCGAGTTATTGTGGTAGGCATTATTGGGAATCCAAAACTAACAGTTATCATTATTATCTATAATATATGGTAAACTATATGTTATAATAAAGGATATGATATAGGTATTTAGGGTGTTGAACATATTTAGAGAGAGATTTCATAGGCCAGTATAAATAAAGACCTAAACCAGCTTAAGAAATAACAGTAAGAGGTGAGTTGAGGAACAAAGTTGCTGAAGACGTGAAGAGAAAGACAAGAAGAATAGTGAAATGGACAACAGACAAATTGCAATTAGCTTTCCTTTTGGCTAACAGTATACTAGAAACTGAAATCATAGACTTTTTCTAATAGCTTAAATTATTTATAAATACATATTTAATATAAGTATAGGTGCAGTAATACAGCCCTAGGGGAAAAATCACCCTTCAACCCTTAAATTGATATTTTAGAGTAGCAGCCCTATCTTATGCCAAAAATAAAAGCAACTTGCAAGTAGGTAGAGTTAAGTTTTAAAAACTTACGTTTTAGAAAAACACAGCTCAAATATAAGATGTAAAACCTTACTGAAAAAAAGGTTAATCCTTCAGAGCCTGCCATGATGATGCATAACTGTAATCCTAGCACTCTGGAAGCTGAGGCAGGAGGATTGCAGTGAGGTGGAGGCCAGCCTGAGCTACATAGTGAACTCAGAGGCCAGCCTAAACTACACAGCAAGACCGTGCTGCCAAAAAAAAAGTGTTTGTATAATAATGTATCTCTCATAGATTTTCATGTGATTAAATGTCAAAAAGCAAACAGTGGATAAAATAGTACAAGCTGATTTCATTTTAATTACTAATATTTTTAAATGTTTTTATCAAACTTTTTCTGAGTTCCACAAATATTGAAGAATTACCCATAACTTAGCAACTATATTGTTTTACATATTTTCATTATTAAAATTATAGACTATGCACCTGTAGTCCCAGTACTTGGGAAGCTGAGGCAGAAGGATCATTGTGAGTTCAAGACCAGCCTGAGCTACAAAGTGAGCTGAAGGCCAATCTAAACTGCATAGCAAGATCTTGTCTCAAAAAGACAAATAATAAAAATAAACTATGTAAAAATAGACTTTGTAACATACCTATTACAGTAAACATAACTATTCTATGAGAACTTTTCAAAACTTCTCAAGACCATGAATCACCAAGGCACTGCACTAATTGGATATCACAGAGTGCAAGTTGTTTTGAAAGAGTCACCTTTCATCTGTTTGCTGTGACAAGATAACATGGCTTCAAGAATCCAGCATACGATATTACGTGCCACTGTAATTTAGTTGGACTACTACCTCAAAACCAACATACATTTCTTGTGGCTGATAGGTTAAGTTTTGCTTATTGCCGTACCTTTATTTAAAGTTATAATTTTTAATTGGCAAAAATTATATATATTTATGGTATACAGCATGTTTTGTTATATATGTACAATGTAGAGTAACTATATCAAGCTATTTAATACTTGCATTCCTTACATATTTTTGTGGTAAGAAGACTGAAAATGTACTCAATGATTTTCAAATATGCAATATGCATATTGGTATTATCTGAAGATACTATGATGGCCAGTAGACCTTCAAACTTACTGTTCTTGTGCCTTCAATATAATTTCCCAATCTCCCAGCTTCTTCTGACCACTATTTTATTTTGTTTCTGTGAATGTCTTTTTTCCTACTATCCATATAAGTGAGACCATGCAAGATTTGTCTTTGTTTACCTAGTTTTGTTCACTCATAAATAACAGGATTTCCTTTAATAAGACTGAATAGTATGATATTATTTATTTATATATATTTTTTCTTTGTCTATTCAGCCATTGATGGATCTTAAGCCAGTTCCATATCTTGGTTATTATTGAATAATGCTGCCAATGAACATGGGGGAGTTCATCTCTTCAACATAGTATTTTCATACCTGTTTTTGTTTCTCCATTCTTTTACTAATGTTTATTTTTTAAGTAATGATTGTTTATAGTACATAATGATTATATTCTTGTCAGGGAATTGTACGTGTATATAACAGATCTTAATTCTTTTTTCATACTCTTCTCTCCTTTCTCCCCTCTCCCTTTATCTGTTACCCTTCCCTTTAGCAAAAGATGTCTCTGTATTTCCTGTTAACTCTTTCATTTTGCTCTTTAATTCTTTATGCCTTGAGTTTCTATGTAAGAGAAACCATACAGTATTTAATCTTGTACATCTGATTGCTTCACTTAACATTATGGTCTCAAGGTATATTCATTTTCCTAAAATGATTTATTCTTTATAGCGGAGTATAAGTGCCATTGAGTATAATTACCACATTTTCTTTTATCTGTTGACTTGTTTGTGAGTATAGAGGCCGCTTCCAAGATTTAGATATTGTAATTTTGGTACTATAGACATGAGTATGTGTGTATCATTGTATTATATGTATCTAACCTCTTTCAGGAAGATAGTGTTATAGTTTGTGTCTGCTTGTCCCCACAAAGCTTCGAGCAGTCATGGGGGTGGGCTTTTAGGGTTTGTGGTTGATTCATAGTCCAGTGCTGGTATTATGAGTGTGAGTGCCACACCTGCCTTGGGGCAGGTAGCCTGTATACCACATGAGGGAGGGGAAAAGACTTGCTCTCTCCTCCCCTTTTGCTCTTGTTGCTTTTGCTGTCTTCTGCTACCATGAACAGTTGCCCTTTGCTACACCATTCTGCCTTGGAGCCAGCTGATTATGAACTGAAACCTTACAAACTGAGCTAAATAAACCCTTCCTTTCTTAAGTTAGGGCATCAGGTATTTTGTCTCAGCAACGAGAGGAAGACAACCAAGACAGTTACCTGAAAGGTGAATAGCTAGATCAAATGGATTTTCTAGTCATAGTTTTCTGAAGAATCTCAGTACTGATTTCCACGGTGGTGGTACTAGTTTACTTCTCACCAGCATTGTAGAAGGGTTCCTTTTTCCCCTATAGCCACTTCAGGATTTGTTATTATTTGATTTCTTGATGATAGCCATTCTTTCTGGAATGAGATACAATCTCAATATTGTTTTAATTTGCATTTCTTTAATGATTAGAGATGTTGAACATTTTATCATGTATTCATTGGCCATTTGTATTTCATGTGGAAAGTATCTATTCATTTCACTTGCCCATTTTTTGATTGAGTCTTTTATTTTGGGAAGTCTAATTTTTTTTTTATAGTTCTTTAGATTTTTCTAGCTATTAGTGCTCTGTCCAAGGAATAGTTGGCAAATTTTTCCCATTGGGTAGGTTGTCTCTTTACTCTGTTGTTTCCTTTGCTATTCATGAGGTTTTTAATTTGATGTGATCACATTTATTGATTCTTGGTGCTATTTCTTGTGCCGTTGTGATTTTGTTCAGAAAGTACTTGCCTGTGTCTATGACTCCAAGAGTGTTAGCTATTCTGTCTTCAAGCAGATTGTTTCTATTTTAACATTTAGATCCATTTAATCCATTTCAATTTTAGTTTAGAACATAGTGAAATGTTCTAGCATAGTGAAATGTTCATAGTGAAATGAATCTAGCTTTAATCTTTCTGCACATAGCCAATTTTCTCAACATTATTTGTTAAAGAGGCTGTCTTTTATCTAGCATATATTTTTTGCTTCCTTTGTTAAAGATCATAGTACTGTAGTTTTCATTAAAGAGATCTTTGGCTTTCTTGGTTAGATTAATTCCCAAGTATTTCATTACTCTTGATTATATTTTAAATGCTAAGATTTTCTTAGTTTCTTTCCCAGTGACTTCATCATAGCTGTGTAGGAACACTATTGATTTTCACGTGTTGATTTCTGATATGCTACTAAATTTGGTTATTAATTCTAGGTGTCTTATGGTGGAGTTATTTTTGACCCTCTACATAAAAGATCATATAGTCCGCAAGTAATTTGACTTTGTTCTCTTACTTGATTGTTCTAATGTTTCAAGGACTATACTGAACAGTATAGTGTGGCATTGATGGTGGGCATCCTCCTCTTGTTCTTAATTTTAGAGAGAAAACTTTGAGTTTTTGTATTTAATTTAGTCTGTGTATTTAATATGTTTGTCATAAATG